AAGCAAAATTTGAGTTGTTAAATGCAACATTAACAAAACGCTGTCGAATGCTGCTTTTAAACCTATTGGAGTTCGCGTAGGAAAGTATTAGCCACAGAATAAAAACAAAAACTCAGCTGCTCATCTCTGCTTCTTATATATATTTTTTTGTACACGCTTATACATATTAGTTTCACCTGTTTGTAAAAATGGCTGGCTTTTTAATTAGATTTCACAGAAAGATTTTGAGTATGCAGTTTTATAGCCAGTTTAATTTGAGTATAATAGCGTTACGCTTAAAGTAGCTGCGACTTACGATTGATTTTTGATTTTTTTTTTGTGTTGCTCATTTTCTTCATACCATCGAATATACTTCGAAAATGACTGTCACCGTCAACAGTAAAAAGTTGTCAAAAATCAACGGTAAGTCCTAGCTGCTTCAAACTTGGACTGTGTGAGACTAAAATTGAATGGGCTATAAAACCGCATACTCATAATCTTTCTAACAAATTTAATTAAAATGCTGGAAATTGAATTTTGCAATTTTGACAGCGGATTAGTAATTAGTGACCCCGAAAACCCCCTAATACGAAATTTCGAATCATTTTTCCAAAGCTTTGAATTTTGGCCACCTTTTTGGATTTCAGCCGCACTGTGCAGCGGTATAAAGAGTTTGCAATCCTTCCCAATATAATTTTTAGTAACACGACGTGCATGAAATATTTTAAATTTAAGTTAAACTGTTTACTTTCGAGAGGGCCCTAATATCAAGAAACATCCTTATCCGATCAGGCCAAATTTACTTAGGAAATGAATCGATAGCAAGAACAGCTATATTATCAAGAAACGTTTCATCTCTCCGCTGGCATAAGCTATGTACAGTACGGAACCGAAGATATTTTCTTTAATTTTAAGATGATCCTCTGGACTTGGCTCTATGTTGCCAAGAGCTCCAATGCTTCTAATGTGCCTTACTTTCAATTGAAACTAGTAGAGAAAAGTCGTCACGACTTCCAGGAATATAACTTCCATGGGGCCCGTGAAAATTATTTCAGATTTAGTTTCCACGCTACTCCGAAAAATCTGCCATGCAAGTGGTACATCTGATTGGTAGATGGCATTTAACTATGTCACGGCTTCGCGACACTTAAGGCCAAGGAAGTATTGAAAATTTGTATGAAAATGTCACTTTATAAAGAATTTTAAGTGTGCTTTATTTTTAAT